CACCCTACTACCCTAGTAGGAATGGACAAGCAGAATCGACCAACAAAACCTTACTCAAAAACCTCAAAAAGAGGTTGATCGATGCCAAAGGAAAATAGAAGGAAATCCTACCCGATCGAAGTCCAGTACCGAGGCTACCCCATTCTCATTGGTTTACGACGCCGAAGCTCTACTACCAGTCAAAGTCGGAGAATCGAGTCTAAGGTTCCGATATGCAACTAATGAATCAAATGACGAGGCTATGAACACGAGCCTAGATCTATTAGATAAAAGGTGCGAAGCAGCCCTTGTCCAGTTGGCTGCCCAAAATAAAAGCGGATTGAGAGATATAACAATCGAAGGACCAACCTTCGACATTTCAATATCGGGGACTTGGTGCTAAGAAAGGTCACGCTAAATACCCGAAACCCGAATGAAGGGAAGTTGGGACCAAACTGGGATATGACCACTGGCTGCTTCTGTGACCCTCCTGGCTGCTTCTGTGGCTCCGCACCTACGGCCAAAACCTCGCAGGTGTGGTTACACCAGATACCAGCTGCCTTAGCATTTTCCTTAGTCCAAAAATCGACCCGTTAAGCATCTGAAACACACCCGAAGCCCCCGGGACCCCATCCAATCACACCAACCAGTCCAATAACATAACACGGACATGCTCGAGGTCTCAAATCACATCAAACAACATCGAAATCATGAATCGCACCCCAATTCAAGCTTAATAGACTTTAGAACTTCAAACTTTTATATTCGATGCCGAAATCTATCAAATCACGCCCGATCGACCTCAAATTTTGTACACAAGTCACATTCGACATTACGGACCTACTGCAACTTCCGGAATCGAAATCCGACCCGATATAAAAAAGTCCACTCCAGGTCAAACTTCTTAAAATTATCTAAATTTCCAACTTTCGCCCAAATGACCCCAAAATGATCTACGGACCTCATCCACTCCGGATGCGCTCTTAAGACCGGAATCATCATACAGAGCTATTCCTAGACTCGGAATCCCAAACGGATGTCGATATCATTGAAATGCACTTCAACTCAAATTTATGAAATTCTTCCAAAATGATAACTTCCATAATAGGCGCCAAAACGCTCCCGGGTCATCCAAGACCCACTCCGGACATACGCCCAAGTCCAAAATCATTATACAAATCTGTCGGAACCTTCAAATCCCGATTTCGACGTCGCTTACCCAAAAATCAACCCTGAGCCAACTCCTCCAACTTAAAGCTTCTGAAATTTAAATTTTCTCTCCAAATGAACTTTGAATTTCTCGAATTTCAATTTCGACCACATGTACAAGTTATAATACCCGAAGTGAAGCTACTCAAGGCCTCAAATCGCCGAATGACATGCTAGAGCTCAAAATAACCGGTCGGGTCGTTACACATCTACAAGATGATCACATGTGTGCTTGTTATCAACCCGCATTTGTCCTTTACGAGGTTACTAGCTCAATTAATAAGATTAAGAGTACAGTTTCCAGATTATACAATTAAGACACTTTGTCTTGATAATACTGGTGAATTTACGTCCCATGCCTTTAATGATTGTTGCATATAAACTGGGACAATAATTGAGCATCCAGTTGCTCAAGTTCATACTCAAAATGGTCTAGCGGAATCATTGATAAAATGCCTTCAATTAATTGCCAGACCAATACTTATGAGAACAAAACTTCCCATTTCAGCATGGGGCCATGCTATTTTGCATGCGGCAGCTCTTGTGCGGATCAGACCCACAAGTTATCATAAAATCTCCCCAATACAATTGGTTTTTGGTCAGGAGCCAAATATTTCCCATCTTAGAATATTTGGATGTGCAATATATATTCCAATTGCTCCACCACAACGCACAAAGATGGGACTCCAAAGACGACTGGGGATATATGTTCGGTATGAATCTCCTTCTATTATAAAATATTTGGAACCTATGACTGGAGATTTATTTACGGCAAGATTTGCTGATTGCCATTATGATGAATCAGTATACCCAATATTAGGGGGAGAAAATAAGCAATTGCAAAAAGAGATAGATTGTAATGCATTATCACTATCTCATTTAGATCCTCGAACAAATCAATATGAACACGAGGTTTAAAAGATAATTTATTTGCAAAATATTGCAAATCAACTGCCAGATGCATTCACTAACCTACCAAGGGTGACTAAGTCACATATTCCAGCTGCTAATGCTCCTATTCGAATTGATGTCCCGGTTGGACAATCTATAAATATAAATGAGTCTAAGCCACGCTTGAAACGTGGTAGACCAATTGGTTCCAAAGATAAATATTCTCGAAAGCGAAAAGGAGCAAATGATCTAGGAGATCATAATATGGAGAAAATTGCTCAAAAAGAGCCCCGTGACATAACAAATGATAAGACTTCAGAGGAGGTCCAGGTACCTGAAAATAATAAGAATGAAAAGATCTCAATAAGTTATGTCTCTACGGGAAAAAGGTGGAACCGAAATAATATTATTGTCGACAATATTTTTGCTTATAATGTTATTGTTGAGATAATGCAACAAGATGAGGATCTTGAACCAAGATCTGTCGATGAATGTAGACAGAGAAATGATTAGCCAAAATGGAAAGACGCTATCCAGGCAGAAGTAGCGTCACTTGAAAAACGTGAAGTATTCGGACGAATAGTCCGAACACCTGAAGGAATAAAGCCAGTGGGATACAAATGGGTTTTTGTGCGAAAACGAAATGATAAAAATGAAGTCGTTAGATATAAAGCACAACTTGTGGCACAAGGATTTTCGCAAAAACCTGACATTGATTATATAGAGACATATTCTCCTGTGGTGGATACAATCACTTTCAGGTATCTTATAAATTTGGCAGTCCATGAAAAACTTGATATGCGTCTGATGGATGTTGTCACAACCTACTTGTATGGCACATTAGACAACGAGATTTATATGAAAATCCCTGAAGGGATTAAAGTTCCCGAAACTGATAAAAGTTTTCGGAAAACTTGTTCAATAAAGCTTCAAAAATTCTTATATGGATTGAAATAATGAGGGCGAATATGGTATAATCGCCTGAGTGAGTATTTTCTGAAAGAAGGATATAAGAATGATCTAATTTGTCCTTGTATATTTATAAGAAGGTCTGGACCTGAATTTGTTATAATTGTTGTGTATGTTGATGATCTAAATATCATTGGAAATTCTGGGGAGCTTCCAAAAGAAGGAGACTGTTTGAAGAAAGAGTTTGAAATGAAAGATCTTGGAAAGATAAAATTTTGTCTTGGTCTACAAATTGAGCATATGAAAGATGAAATTTTTGTCCATTAATCAACTTATACCGAAAAGATCCTAAAGCGTTTTTATATGGATAAAGCACATCCATTGAGTACCCCGATGGTTGTGAGATCACTTGATATAAATAACGATCCATTTCGACCTCATGAAAATGATGGAGAGTTTCTTGGTGATGAAACTCCATATCTTAGTGCAATTGGGGCACTAATGTATATTGCAAATAATACTCGACCAGATATAACTTTTGCAGTAAGTTTATTGGCAAGATTTAGTTCCTTTCCAATAATAAGACATTGGAATGGTATTAAGCATATTTTTAGATACCTCCGGGAGACTATTGATATAGGATTATTTCATTCTTATGAATCCGATTCACAAATGACTGGCTATGCAGATGCTGGTTATTTGTCTTATCTATATAAAGCCCAATCTCAAACAGGCTATCTATTTACTTGTGGAGGTACAACTATTTCATGGCGTTCAACAAATAAACTTTAGCTGCTACATCTCACAAGCATGTAGAGATAATAGCTATTCATGAGGCTAGTCGAGAGTGTATATGGTTGAGATCAGTGACTCAAACACATTCAACAACTGTGTGGTATTTCTTTAAAAATGAAGATTCCAACGATATTCTATGAAGATAATACTGCTTGCATAGCTCAACTTAAAGGAGGATATATCAAAGGAGACAGAACAAATCACATTTCACCAAAGTTCTTTTTCACACACGATCTTCAGCAAAATGGTGAGATAGATGTTCAACAAATCCTTTCAAGTGATAATCTAGCAGATTTATTCACTAAGGCAATGCCAACATCAACATTTGAAAAGTTGAGACATAAGATTGGAATGCGTTGTCTCCGAGATATCAAATAAAATTTTTATCATGGGAGTATAATACGCGTTATACTCTTTTTTCCTTAACCAAGATTTTGTCCTAATTGGGTTTTCTTAGTAAGGTTTTTAATGAGGCAGCACTCAATGCGTATTATAAGATATGTCTACTCTTTTTTCTTCACTAAGCTTTTTCCCACCGGGTTTTTCCTAGTAAGGTTTTAAAGAGGCACATTATCTATGGACATTCAAGGGCGAGTGTTATAAATATATTAAAGTGGATGTCCATTGAATACTCCATACATCCCTATTCCATGAACCATTTGAGTTCATGTATTTAGTTAATTCATCACTTAATATTTGTAACCTTTAGGTATATTCTTGTAACCTTTCATGTATCTCATATCCTATAAATAGGGTATACTTTATCTTATTAAGTACACACAAGAAACACACTTGAATAAGATAACGTATACATTCTCTTCCTATATATCATGTCTCTATTACTATATTATTCTATTTTGCTCTCATTTCTTAATACGTTATCAACACGAGTTGCTCAAATCATTATTACTTTGCCTGCTCCACCGGGCTCTAATTTCATTCTCGTCTTTTGAAGTTGAGTCTTTTTCATACGGTATGTATTTACAGTTTTATTCTTAGCTGCGTTTTAATATATATATATATATATAAAAGCTATTAACTTTGAAAAGCATTATTTCTGAAATAGAATTTTATAGGAGCACTCCAAATGATGAACTAATTCTCGTCACCAACGTAACAACATTTCATCCCTATAGTATATAGTATTGTCAAAACAAAGGGTAACAAAAAAAAAACTATATGCCAAGCACCAACTAAACATTATAGAAACCTAAAATCTAAAAAATCAAGAAGAAGCAAAGCCCTAACAAGCCCATGGGAAACCACATGAAATAAAGGGGTGATGCTCCATTTGTTTGAGAACCAACTTTTATATAAACTTTTTGGCCAATTTGGCAATGGCCAGGAATTCCGCAGATGTAATAGTAATCGCCAGGGGCTGAAAGTGTAAAAGAGTCTTTGCCTGTGTTTAAAGTGGCTATTGGAGATGTAACTGTGCATGACTCATATTCTTGGCTGCTCACTTGCATCACATTGTGGTATTTGTTGTAGTTGAAGACTGCACGTATAAAAAAGAAGAAGAATATTATAACTTGACCATGCAATAAAAAGTTGCAACTTATATGTCTTAATTTATGTGTCATACTTTCCTTTTTAATCTGTCCCAAAAAGAATACCATATTTTCTTATTTAGAAATAATTCAATTAAATTTCCTGTTTTACCCTTAATAGGATGATTTAATTATAGTCATACAAATATCTACGACGTATTTTAGAGCACACGTTTTAGAAATCTTCCGTTCTTTCTTAAACTTCACATAGAATCAAACACCGCCACATAAATTAGGACGGAGAGTAGTAACTTTTTTGTTTGTATTTAAAGATACTAGTGTTCATATATATATAAAGACGGATTTCCCACTTAGTTGAGAAAATTATAATTTAGTATAGAGTAGCATGAATGTAATTTGGGAAAACCATGAAAACATCTTTTGTTTTTCTTATATAGAGTTCTGAATATGTCAACTTCGTACATTAAAAAGTCAAAGTAAAGCATTAGACTAAAATCTCAGCCTTCAAGCATTTACTTTGAGTTGTATCAAGTCGGCATAAGGAGAGCAATATATGTCCTTATATCAAGTCCTTACTCTACCCATTAGTAATTAGGAGAATAATCTTATCCTTTGAGAATAATAAAAAATGGACAGTGTTTAATTGGAATATGAAAACGTGACTAAATTGGTCCTAGTTATTCTTCGGGGCGGAGTGGAGGAAGGAAATTCTCGAACGCGGAAAGGATCCAATGAATTCGAAAGAATTGGTATGAGATGAAAATCTCATATACGAGTGACAGTAAGGGTAAATAGTTTAAGTTACGTGCACGACAATATATAGATTTCTCTTCGAAACACGTATGATTTGGTAAATATTATGTCAGTGTATATAACTTAAATATTCCTAACCCCAATTTCTTCGTCGTCAAAACATGAAAGAGCTATATGATGACACAAGAATATACAAAAGAGAGGAAAATATTACTTACTCAGGGTATCATTGACTTGAAATTTCTTCGTAGAAGCCCAGTGATTGTAATCAACCTTCCCTATAATGGTCCAACCTTGTGAGTCTCCAACCTCATACACAGTGGCCATGGATAGTCGCGTGGAAGTGGCTATAACTGCAATGATGAAGCAGAAAAGTGTTCTCTTTGTAAAAGTCATGGCTGAACTTTGGAGAGAATACTGTGAATAATAAGGGGAAGTGCATGGTTAGCCATTGATTAGAGATGTCTTTACTCTTTGGCCACTGTTTAAAATATATTTACTTTTTAGTCAGTGCTTAATAATCTTTTACCTGTCCGGACGAAAATGCCATTGTACTAATATTAAGGACATGGTGTCCTTAACTTCATGAATGCTGTGTAAATATTAAGGACAATGTCTTATATTTGCACTTTTCGTTGTTAAACTTTAGGACATCATGTCCTTAACTTCATATGTGCAGTGGAAATGTTAAGGACATGGCGTCCTTAACTTCATGTGTGCAGTGTAAATGTTAAGGATATAATGTTCTTAACTTGTATTTGCACCTTCTGTTGTTAAACTTTAGGACCCTATATCCTTAACTTCATATGTGCAGTGGAAATGTTAAGGACATGGCGTCCTTAACTTCATGTGTGCAGTGTAAATGTTAAGGATATAATGTTCTTAACTTGTATTTGCACCTTCTGTTGTTAAACTTTAGGACCCTATATCCTTAACTTCATATGTGCAGTGTAAATGTTAGGACATGGTGTCCTTAACTTCATGTGTGCAATGTAAATGTTAGGGACATACTGTCCTTAACTTTATGAGTGTTATGTAAATATTAAGGATATTGTGTCATTAACTTCATGAATGTTATGTAAATATTAGAGACAAAGTGTCTTGTATTTGCACCTTCCGTTGTTAAACTTTAGGACATCATGTCCTTAACTTCATATGTTTATTGTAAATATTAAGGACATGATGTCCTTAACTTTATGTGTGCAGTGTAAATGTTAAGGACACCATGACCTTAATATTTACACAGCACTCATGAAGAAAGGGTAAAAACGTCTTTTCGTATTAATTTTAATAGAGTTGTGATTATTTTTGCTAACATTAAAAAAACTGGATAAAAATTAAATACTATATTAAAAAATGGCTATCCCACGCCATTTCTACGAATAATAATGCTTTTATGGATGTAAAGGCCCCTTTAAATAAGCACGATATAAAACCATAATTACTAGGAAACCAATTATATAATTTTTTTGGAATTTTTTTTTACTCTATTTATGGAAATTAATATTAAGGAAATAATGTAATAATTAAGTACTTAAGCATCACGACACGTCGACACCTAAATGTAGCTAGGAAAAGAAAGGTTTGCATTATTACAGAATTCTCCTTTCCTGCTAAGGAATATGAATAAAATAGGAAAATGTCAAAACTGAAAACTTTGCCAAAGTGGCGTTACCTTTGTACACTCAAAGAAATACTTTAAGTAGAATTTTAATTTTTCCGCGTACGCAGCATAAAAATATATATGCCCTCATAAGGTTAGTAATATTTTTCGTAGTTTTATCGAAAACAATTATTAGGAAATTTTTTATTTTTAACTCTTGCAATTGTTTTGGTCAACACCGATAATAAACTTTGTTTTTCTCAACATTTTGAGGCTTTTTGACGCAAAATATAATAAAAAGTTACAACCCAACACAACACTTTAGACCCACGTTGCCACAATTTAAGTTTACTTTCTAAAATAGCATGTAAGTGATATTTTCTATTGGAAATAGTCTATCTATCCTCACATGGTATGAATAAGGTTTGCGTACATACTATTCCCAGACCCCATAATATGAGATAATATTGTATATGTTGTTATTGTTGTGTGTAAGTGGTATTTATTGTAAAGCCTTTTCTATTTGAATCCTTAAGCCTAGAGTTAACACTCGTACGTGAAAATTTTGTGGTAAGATTCATTTTAAAGTCTTAAGTTGGCAAAAGTGTCTAAATAGATTTTAAATGATGATTAGAGTTAAGTTGCGTGGGTGCTATCTTGGTTCATTATGGTTATCCTGCTTGCCTTGCCTAAAAGTGTATTAGGCGCCATATTGATGGGTTGAGATTTTGGATTGTGATAACTATGACATAAGGATTATGAGATGATGTTATTTTAAGGCCCTCAGTTAGTTGACCTTCGGGTCTCATTCTTATGTTTATCCGTTTTCTCTATATTTTTATTGTCTTTTGTTTATTATTCGTACAGGTTATACCCCTTCGTCGAGATTAGGCTCGATACTTATAGAATATATGGAGTCGGTTGTACTCATACTACACTTCTGCACTTCTTATGCAGATTCCAGTATTGGCCCTTGTAGCGCATAGAGGAGATTGCTCGGATCAGATCTATTCAAAAGACTTGAGGTAGAGCTGCATGGCGCCCGCAGTTCTTGAAGTCCACTTTCTTGTTTGTTTTACTATTTATCTTGTATCAAACAGTTGTATTCCATTTCAGACCGTGTTTGTAGTATTCTAGTCGCTCATGTACTTGTGACTCTGGATTTCTGGGATTAGTATAGACTATATATATATATATNTTGCCTAGCAAGTGGATGTTAGGCATCATCACAACCCCGTGATTGGGATTTCAGATCGTGACATCTCTTTTCAATCAAAACATATATGTCTTAGTTTAATCAATTTGTCTCTCGAATATAAATACAACTCTCTTCTCCTCTTTTTATTTTTATTTAATTATATTTTTATTAATTAAAAATCTTGATATATAGTTTTATTTTATGGTTTAAATTTTCGACTGGTAAATAAAATAAAAAATTTAATAAAAGTCTTTCTTAAAAATATTTAAAATAATTTCTCTATTTAAATAGTAAGTATTAATTATAAGATGATCTTAATTATATTTATATTGATTAAAAATATTGATATATATTTTTATTTTATGGTTTAAATTTTAACTAGTAAATAAAATAAAACTTTAGCTAATGTCTTTCATAAAAATATGTAAAAATATTTCTCAATTTAAACATTAAGTATTAATTATAAGATGATAGTAATACTATCTTTTTTCGTAGTTGCACTAAAAAATACTTTTTAAAAGATTTGGCCAAACATAATTTTATCAAATACTAAAAGGACTTTTTAATGAATTTAGCCAAACATAAACTATTTCTCTCTAAAAGTATTTTTTTGAAAAATCTGTTTTGACAAAAGTATTTCTCAAAATTAGTAGTTTTAGGAAGCTTGGCCAAACAAACTCTATTTATAGCCGATTTGGCCAAACCTTAGAATCTGCTTAATTTGAAAAGTGATTTTTTGCTAGAAATACTTTTCAAAAAGTACTTTTGAAAAAATAGGAGTTTGTGTATGCCTAGTCAACTTGAAAATCACTTTTGTCAATATTAGGTATCAATTTGTGTTTGGGCAAGTTTTCTAAAAATATTTCTATTGAGAAGCAACTTTATCACCTTGTCAAAGCAACTTGTGTTATTACACAAAAGTATTTATTTTTTTCCTAGAAACTTGGCGAAATACATCAAATCTCTAAAATAAATATATTTATTTTTTCAAAACTTGGCCAAGCATGCTGTTATTAGTATATTTTATTTTTTTTATTTAAAAGGAGTGTAAAGTTAAAAGTGGACAATTAAAAATAAATGGGAGTACTTATTTTATGCCTGTTCAAGTTGTAATCTTTTCCAAGTCAAAGATATTGGTGTCAAAGAAGGAACACAAAGTCAATACACATAAAATCGGCCTTAAATCCCCTTTCTTTTATACTGAATATAAAGCCAAAAACAAAATCAAAAATCCATTTATTAATCCAACTTGGCTCTGTCTCTTACCATTTTCGGACACCAGCAACAATAATCCACAATCTAAACCCCCCCCAAAGTGCACACATTTTTGAAGTTGCCAAAAACTTAGCTTTAATCTGGTTCTGACTCTATCCAAATTAAGGAAAAAATTCGGAGTTGAAGTTGCCAGAAGTGAAAATTCTGTTGAATTTGAGTCGATAAATTCTTGAGAAATTTCCTCAAAGCGCGTTGATTATTGGGTTGGTGGAATCAATTAGGTGTTCAATATTTGAGCCGTATCTTCTAGGGTTTTGTTCATTTCACTGTGTGCTCAAGAGCCTCTCTGTTTGGTCTTTTCTGATTGGTGAGATTACTTTTCTTTGTTTTATTTCATTTCAACGCTTGTTGCTGTGTAATTAAGGTGCCATTTTCTTTAGTAATTGAAAGGGCTTCTTGCAATTACCTGTAATTTCATCAATAATTGCAAGTCATTTTTACTGTGCTGATACTTGTTTGCTTGCTTATTTTCTATTCCCTCTGACCAATTTGATGTGACACGCTTTTCTTTTTAGTAGAATGACGAAATAATTTTGATTTTTAACTTCTTGTTTTACCTTAATGAGATGAATTATAGCCATACAAATATTTATGTGATGTTTTAAATCACAAATTTCAAGTCTTTTTTTCTTAAGTTTTGTGTTCAATCAATTTGTCGCATAAATCGGGACATAAGGAGTATATTGTTTGTATAATACAACAATGAAATATCTTTGTGCTACATTGTGGTGCTAATTTGGGGAGCAAGTCCAAACCCCATGATTGAAACTTAAAACGTAGAGGCTATAGAGAAGGATTTTATTAGTAGTTGATATTGATGAGATCAGAGTGAAAGCCATGGCTTGAGTCATTTAATAGAATAGAGTGTAGAATGAAACTTTTCACATAGTAATAGAGTTTAGTCTTATTATAAACCCATCTTAGATTCCCACTTGCTTTTCTGGCTTTCTGTGTTTCAAGTCTCAAATAGAATTGTGTTCGGATAGTATCTAGCTGCAGTGAAATAACAACTTTGAAATCTAAATAGTGAGTGTTATGTTGTCGGAAGAATCGCTGAGCAGTTAAGGCATTGGAGTGACGATTTGCGATTACAGGTCAAAATCCCCGTTATGACACTCAGTATGAGCGCAGCTGCTCCAGTCTTCTCGGCAGGATTATTTGGTACTTGTGCTTGTGTTTAGTAGCGGTTTGCTAGGTGGATCAGTTAGCAAGTTGTCCCGAACACCATTGTCACGATAAAAAAGGTGAGAGTTATGTTCTATAGACGTCCTGGAAATTAGGTTAGAGTAGGAAGTCATTAAACTAGATAGTAAAACTTGTAGTGAACAAACAACAACAACAACAACAACAACAACAACAACAACAACCCAGTAAAATCCCACTAATGGCGTCTGGGGAGGGTAGTGTGTACGCAGACCTTACCCCTACCCCCAAGGAGTAGAGAGACTGTTTCCGAAAGACCCTCGGCTCAAAA